ACTTTCCTATAACTTTGTCACTGTTATTTTCTATTAGAAAAACATTCACACTAAAGTATATTAAAATCCGTAAATATTCAATGAGACAGATTGATAATAATCTATACTATTATAATAAAGCGTAAACACACACTTCTTTGTTGCCTAAGATGTCAGCAATTACAACATATTTTTGAAAATTCTCTTTTTAATGAAAACATAATAAGAAGCCCTACACTTACGTCACGTTTTAGGCTATATATTTTTACGCCAATAAACTTAGGGGGTAAATATTTTGGATAAAAGCCCTAATGTGGGAAAGAGACTATAAGTTGCTGCCAACATCAAGAACACGAGATTGCCAAGATTTGTCATGTCATGTCAGTGTGACATTATCTATTGATAATTTGACAAATGTAAAAAATAAAATAAAATATTCATAATTTCATGCGGAAGAAGCCGCCTAGGAACAGCTAGTATAATATACAAAACAATTTAATCACAGCTTTTTACTGTTAAGCAAAAATTAAGCCCAAAAACTCACCATAAATACTTAAGTATACGTACATCTCTCTCTTTCTCTTTTAACCAAAAACTACGTTTGTTCTTTTTGATAGAGTAATTTCCAGTCGTTCCGTCTCTTCTGTCATGCACTTAACCTTCTGTAGCGACGTCAACTTTCTCCTATATCTATCGAACGTGTTATTCTTGGACTTCTACCTTTTCCCTTATTTTTTTTAAATTCGTGTATCAGATAAGTATTAAAAATGTTCAAAATTTATTATTAACTCGAACATTTTCTTTATTTATTTATTTTCATTTTACAATGTTTTCACATCAAGGTTATTTTATCACATAATAGCTAAATAAAGTTAGTAAACAATGTAATCGAAAGCCCATTTTACTATCTTTTGTGTGACGTCAATGAAACCGATAACAGTGGCGCCATCTACATTAGTACTGTTTCATCTGACCTGTCTAGAAACCTTGACACTAGCCTTAAAAATCTATTAGTAACACAAAAGTCCAACTTGGATAATGGTTATGTTGAAATTCGACCTTTAGTTAAAAAAAAAAAGTTTAAGCGCCATGTTGTTACTGCTCCGCAGTACCAGAATACTATGTTAACTATTTTGATGTATTCTGTATTCATAAAAGTTATTTAGTCTGTGCTGTAAATCAATACCATTTATTTTTATTTAAAGTAACAATATACACTTTGTAATTATGATCAAATGTAAGAATTCTACTTGTTATGTTAATAATCGGACAGTAAACAGATATCAGAAATTAGGGTGTTGTATTGGCTCGGCTACACGACGGCCATATTGGTAGTGGCGGACGAGGATCGTTGAGACATGTGAAATCGGTATTATTGGTAAGACTATTCTGCACAAATTCGACAAAAAGCTAAGAGCTAAAAAAGACTGTATTTTATCGAAGCATAACATAGTTGTGGCTTCTATAATAAGTAAATTATAAAAATTATGAAGTTTTTTAAAACACCCTATAGTGTAAGTACAATTATTGCTTTTAAATACAGTTAAACACAACAATCACATTATTCAGAACAAATATTAAATAATTTTGAACGTCAATATTGCACTAACATTCTTTCACTCCATTTCTATTTGTAAGAGGTTCAAGTGGCACTTGAACGTCAGAGAATATCTTAATTGAGAAACAGCATATAAAAAGTAATGTATGTCAGACACATATTACATAAACGTTTGTAAAGTGACACATGTGAGATTTACATTACCAATGATTAAACATCCATTAAGTTATTTACCATAACAATGTAAAAATATTTGATCGAAAAAACAAATAAAAACTCCAATGATCAAATAAAATGTAAATTTAAAAGCCTAAAAACAGTCCTTACATCATAATTCGCATCATTAGCCGAGGCCGGCTATCACGCGAGCCGTCAAATACCCGTCACCTTATGAGGAGAAAGTTGCATTATGCAACATCCGTGCCGTCCAAACTAAATTAACATCATAATCTTTCAAATTCAATCTATCAACACCCGCCTTTGATGTACGAGATTCATTCACACTCGATTCTAAACTCTATTCCTACACTGTAAGATTTATAATACCTAAGGAGGTTTATAACAAATTCGACTACTGTTTAAAACCGGTAGAACTTTACTGGACCGCAATCTTGATAATTTTTTCTCATACAGATCGTGAGGTTGAGATTTACAGATCGAATCATAACAATAAACTTTTTATATTATTCTATTGTTCTTTAAAAACAACTATAGTTATTTTTTTATTACATCCAAATTTCAATGGACTGTAGTAATTTATTTCTGAAGAATATTAAATTCGCGAACTCTTTAGTAAACAAAAAAAGATTCTCACGAAACTTTATTACACGGTTAAGTTTAAATAAAAAAAAACTACCGTAAAGAGTTAAAATACATGTGTTACGTACACATCGTGGTATAAACAATATCGATATCAAAGAACATCACTATTTCCAATGCACGTTACTAGTGACGTATCTAGCGTTATCGATATAAACTTTAAAACGCCGCCCTCGACACCGGCTAATGAAATGCGACCGCAGATTTCTCGTCATATCAATTTCCGCATTTCAATGTAACGCATGCAAACAGAAGTGAGTGTCAACGACCTATAATGATTAATTTATAATCAATCTATTACTATCTATTAGGGTTGGCAATATTTTAAACAATAAACTTTAAATAAAACAAGAAAATACTAATGTAGGACAAATATACGATGATACATTTGGAATTTTATTCTTAAAAAGCATTGTAATTTCAATGTTTACCAAAAGCGTAATTTTAATGTCTTTTTACTGACTTACTTGATTAAAGTAATTAAAAATAGTACAACGTTAACAAAACTATATAACAAACTTTCATGGTTATTTAAGAAAGGTATAAAAACTGAATAAATGAATAAAAAAACAATTTTCTCAAACAAGCTACACCAGTTTATACGATCGAGTTTTCACTCTCGATATAATTTGTTTCGGCACATTGACACTCACAGACTTGTTTACAATTTTAAACCATTCAACATGCTAATACCCTTGAATATTTTAACTAATAAATACAATATACCAAACTATCTTTATCCTAAAGCAGGGGTTGCGAACCTTTATGCAAAGTGCAATTTTTTAAAAGAAATGTATAATGCTGTCTTAGAAGTGCAATAAAATCATTTTGATTGATTTTTAACGTCAATGCCATGCATGGTAATGAAATCGCGTTAGATTTTTATATAATTTCTACATCATATCATACTTTTTCCTAGTGTTTTTATGCCATGTGTCGTGTGTCATTTATGACATGCCAGTGGTAAGTAAGTAAAGTATCATCACCCGCTCACTGTACACCATTGAGGGGCAGTAAAGTCTCCCTAAGTTAGCAATGCACCATTTTTTAGTATTTAATAAAAAGACAGAACTCCACCGACCAGTTCTGAGGTATTTGTATCGCAACCTTTGTATTGCTCTCAAACATTCTATTGTGTCATTCAAATTAACACAAAACAAATATCATCACAGTTTAAAACCGTAACTAAATTTAATTGACATTTCATCAACACCACAAACGTTTTTTTTAACTTTGCTTGAGAAACAAATCTCCAACGTGTTAACAACTATAATTCTATCAGTATGCAAATTATTTTAGTATATAGCACTCTCATCAAGGTAACTTTAATATCGATTGTTGACTGCATTAAGCAACTCTGATACTGTATCGCATCGATTATAAAGCTTCGTTCACACAAGTAAATGAAGTTATAACATATATATTCAAGACATAATACACTCTTAGACTACACTGAGGTTTGAATAGATTATTAAAGTTTGAAAAAATTATTAAAAAATTACATTATTGCGAAGACAAAATTCATTCTAGTGACATATGGAAACGAACAATACTAGCATATTAACATGTAAACTTTTGCTAAAACAATACTCCGTAATAATTAATATGTTCCAGATTTATCACCATTGTGAGTTATTTAAAAACCTTTATTATCTAGGTTTTAGGACGCGGTTATTCCAGATTTCTATAATCTGTTAAAATGAGGGTAGTTAATATACAAAAGACAATGGAATCTAAAGTTAATGGTATATTACAGGCAGACCCTTTTACCACAAAAATATCAACATTAAAAAATCCTTATACGTTTAGGTGAAGGTTTTTTTTTATTATTAATGACCAAGTTTCAGATAAAGTAGATTTCGTTGTAGTTATCAATCACACAACTTGTCAAGGTAAACTTATAATGTTACTTCAAGTTACACATAACTATAGTTTTAAGGCAAAAAAATCAACAAAATAATTGTACCAAAAAATTGCAAAGATTCTCTAATTCGGCGGATACCCACTTCTATTGTATTGGGTCTAATTAAACAAGTGAACAGTGAGAAAATTGTGTGAAAGAGTTTAGAAACTTGGCAGTTACGCAACAACAACAAACAACAAGTTACACTGCCGTTTGAAATCATAAAGAGTTGTAATTGCTACATTTAAATTTTAACTAAGACTTAGTGACGTCACTAAGACGTGTATATAAACAAATACTAACTCAAATTCTTCCATCGGTCGAGTAATTTCTATTTGTTGCTATTTTATGAATATTTTAGACTTATTAACATTTTTGTTCCAAGAGAAAATTTCGTTGCAATTCAAAAACCTTTGAAATTAGATTGAACTGGCTATCACCCGCGACGTCGTCTTGGTGGAAGTAATAAAAAACTGTCAGTACCCTATGTGTTCTTCTAGACCGTTCAGCAGTTTAGGCATCTAAACTTTCGCATTTATAATATCAGTAAGAAGTAAGATGGAGACATAATCAAGCAGCAAGTTATTTTCGGCTTGTCGAAATAGCTTCCAAAGTACCTTATCAACCAAATCTTTGTGTGGATGATAAATTTCGATTGACTCTTAAAGTTCTTATAGCAACTTTTCAACTGAAAATCAAAGACACCTAGTTCTATATACTGGTGTACGGATAATTACTTACCACTAGCTCAGCAAACTTGGCGTCGAGCTCGTCCTGCGGTGGCATAGGATGGGTAGGCGTGACGGCATGTAACGCCAGCGCACCCTCACCTCCCACCACGCAGTACGTGATCTCTGGTGGCTCATCATTCTGCAAACACATACAATTACCTTTAATACAGAGCTACAGATACTATTATTTTAAAATTCTACTATTTTAATATTCAAGTCATAGTATCCTGGTAAGAACAGAATTGTTAAAATCATCCTTGATCGATCCATAACTTCTCCAACAAATGAAATGCTTTTTAATTAACCGATTTCAAAAAGCTCAGAAAGAACCTCTTGCTTCTCAATTACTTCATGCGTTTTTTTTATTTTTGTTAACTCTTATCAGTTTCATTGCAAAATAATTCTTCATGAAATTTACTTCATCATTAAAGTCTTATAGTCTATCTAAATAATTAAATTAAATCTCGAAAATATCTTAAGTATTCGAAGTTTAAAAAGGTATGTTTGTAATTTTGGAATAAGCAAATCTACATACAATGGCAATATTTTGTTACACGTTGTGAAAATGTACAAAAAGCAATCACAATTGAGTTTTGAGAACGCGACAAAAAACTTCACATGAATCATGTGGAAGCATATCAAGGATTTAATGTCTTCTTAAAGACATAAATCAGTGTCCATGATAATTTCGCAGACATTTTGATTCTTGTGTGACCATTTATAATCTTATTTAAGGAATTATTAAATTCAACCATATAACTACTACACTTGTAAAAATGTTTTCCAAAAATGAAATAAAAAACCAAAAACTCAATTGAATATTCACAATAATTTTCTTTCACATCAAACTATTATTAGATTTTTCATTTTTCACAAAAGTAAATCAGTAACAATAGCCAAATAATATATCGCTGGAATCTATTTATCACGCAGGAGGCCGAAACTAAGATGGCAAGATGAGGTCGAACGAAATCTTTAAAATGTCGGCATTAATATCCTATTTTATTATAATAATAATATTATTATTATTATATTATAATTATTATATTATAATAATAATATTATGTAATCCTTAAGGGCTGGAAACAAAATGCCCAAGATAGACCGATATGGAGGAATTTACTGGAACAGGCCCAGGCACACCCGCGGCAGTAGTGCCTTTGATAATGATGATGATGATGATGATGATGATGATGATGATGATGAAAATTTAAAGATTGACGAAGTTCATTCACTACATAATACGGTCATTGACAAACATCTATTGCATATTTCCTATAATGACTACTACTAAAATAAACAATAACATTTATAAGACAAACAGCGGAATGATTATTATGAAAGTGAGATAATAAAAAGAAAACATAATCAATGCATAATCAACTTCATAATTCTTATGATTTCACACGAGGACAGAACAGTGATCCAGTGTAATAGGCGTGACTAGTACTGCTATAGATCAAAACATTACTATTCTTTTTCGAAGTGTGTGTAAACAATAGCAGTACTGCACTGTCATACTGTACTGTTACTATTCTGCACCAGTGTAAACTTAACATTAATTCTGAAAGCATGTACGGACAGACACAACTGTTTAGGCGACGTGCCTATTCATAATCAGTTGTTAGTACTAGACCTGTCTAGGTAAACTTGTTTAGATATACATTAAAATAGAACCAACATAAACATCATACTAATATTATAAATGCGAAAGTTAAGATGAAAGGATGGCTGTTTGTTAGAGTTTGTAGCCTAAACGCCAGAACGGACTTCAATGAATTTTGGTATAGCTGTAGAACATAGTCAGGAAAAATACATAGGCTATCAATTTTGTTTTTTTTTAATTCCACGCGGACGAAGTCACGGGCGAAAACTAGTTATATTAATAAACAGACAACTAATACGGTTAGAAAATAGTAAAGAATCAGTAGAAAGAATAAAACCAACAGATAAAATAATACACGTAACCCATTGCTATGATTCATGGAGTATCCTAAATAGGTAGTCAATTAAAAATCGATTGTTTCAGAAACCGGATGTACTTTCTTTTTACGCATAATATAGTTGTAGCACATGTTAACACATTGTTGTCATCATTATTCATAAAGTCTGAACAAGAAGTTTTTGCCCGAAACGAAACTACAGCTTCATCGAAAAGATTTACGAGTCAGTTAAATTTTCTTTTATTCCTGACTTTTGCACTGATTTCTGTACATTCTTAACTAAATTGTCTTTGATATAGGAACTTCCTTAAAAAGTAACAACAAATACGTTTACTTATTAATGAAAACGAAGATTATTCATTTATTTTTACTAAAGCATATGAAAGATTTTACAACAATCGTCTAGCATCAATTATTTCGATACATGTTGAGTCACCGAGGTTAATGTAACAAGAGACGCATTGGATTTATTTCATACAAATGTAACAGACGTCTCGCAAACTTATTAAATGGACACAGGGTTGTTGACCATACAGCAAATTCCCAAAGCATAAAAATTGCTTTGATTAAACGTAAACCTTCTCCATAGCGAAATTATTAAGAGAATAAAAGTCACATAATAAATATATGGTACCACATAAGATCTAAGCAAAATAAATTCGATTGTACGTGGGGAATAAACAAAGGACCAGGATGCGTACCTTGAGGAACACCTTTAACAAATCTATTAAATACAACTAATCCTACACAAAATGTACATAATCTCTAGAAACCATCAATGCAACTATTGAAATTCTAGGAAACAAAACAATTCTAGAAGTAAAATGTAACCTTGTAGAGCAATATGGACACTAGCCTTAGCATTGATTGCAGAGAAAACATCGCCGCGACGAATGATATCCTTGGAGGTAATTAAACAAGCATTATCTACACACGATGAATGTACAAACACAATAATGAGTTCATTAACGGCCATAATATTTGAACAGAGAACAATGGAATATTTAATTGTGTGTTCGGTATGAATGGTTGTTATAAAACAACGGAACCTTTCGTTTCTATATTGTTGGAACGCGGCTGTTATAAATGCATCAAAAACACCCTTATGGTATTCTCTTATTATAATTGTGATATGACTCTTCGACATCTATGAAAATAACAGCCCTTTAAAACTATACTTTTGCTAAATGTACCTTTTCATAGTTCTAGATTCACCAGTAATCGTATTTATGATTTAACCGTCGGTTTCTATTACCGTAATCTATACTATTATAAAAAAGCGTAAACACACACTTCATTGTTGCCTAAGATGTCAGCAATTACAGCATATTTTTGAATAACTCTTTTATTTCAATAAAAAAACCCTACACTTACGTCACGCTTTAGGCTATATATTTTCACGCCGTTAAACTTAATGGGTAAATATTTTGGATAAAGACCCTCATGTGGGAAAGAGATCATAAGTTGCTGCCAACATCAAGGAAGCAAGGTTGTCATCATGACATGTCACTTTGACATTTGTAATTGATAATTTGACAAATGTAAATAATAAATTAAAATTTTCGTAATATCTTGCGGATGAAGTCGCACGGGAACAGCTAGTACTTAATAAAACCAAATCCAACAACCATCCTGATTTTCAGATAAGTTACCTTAAATCAAGGAGAAAAGGCACATATGGAGGATATTTCCCTTCCTATGCGACGCCTTGTCCACTAAATCCTCTTACGCTTTAAACATTTTTTAAATATTGCTTGTAAAAAAAGTTGTAGGAAGAGAAAGAGGACTAAAACTAGATAAGGCAGAAGTACTTTCACTTCACGGTGGTTTTCTGTTATAAATTTATTACTATCTATATTTTCATATATTTGTATATCTACCTATCTTTTAACATGAAACTCTATCGTGTTAATCTACATCGGAAAGAAATTCGAAGTACGGACATGCTTTCTTTACAATTAACCAAAAAAACAAGTTACCAACGCATTCCCTTAAAGAGAGTAAAAGGCAATGACAAGTCAACAACACAGTCATTCATTTCACCAAATTACAAATAATATGTAAAAAGTGTATCAAAATGATAAGTCTTACTAAAATTAAAAATTCAAAAGTATACATTTACCTTTATTACCTAATAACTTCAAAACAATTACACAGATCTACATAAAATTTGAAACGGTTATAGTTTACACGCTATAACTCACACACGATAACTAAAATAAGTTTTGTTTTTTTTTTAATTCCATGCAATAGTAAACAGCCAGTATACAATATTCATCAGAAACGTGTGTAGTAGCAACCCTAAAGATCGTCTTAGTATTTTCGTCGATGACTTCACCGGGAGGACATCCCGAATGCAGTTGTTTTATTATTGCTCTCAAGTCGCATTTAAAAGCTACATTTAGAAAGCATTAGAAGGGAAATCGGAAGTTTTATTAGATAAAAAAAAGTTCCCTTCTTTTATACACCTGGTTAGAAATAGACGTTTATAGCATTGTAGTCAAAGTGATCAATAAAAATAAAAATAAAAAAACAGTGAAAACAATAATAATCTTATTATGCCTGAAAACGTCATAACAAAGAAAAGAACTAAGAGGTAATTAGCTTAACAAATATGAATTAAACATGAAGCACAGGCAAAGACCTAAGTTCAGAAGAAAAGGGAAATTACAAAGTCAATTATAAGAAAAATTACGTTATTCAATTAAGAAATTAAAATTTAAAGAAATTAACAGACCGACTGCTCTATGAAACTCAATATTAACTTACTTGTGGTTTAGGTTTGTGCGATTTGATTTTAATCGAAAATATACTATACTTCTTCATAGTATGTGTTCTTAATGGACTCATAGTCGTTGCGTAAGTACGCGTTAACGTGTTTGTGTGAAACATTTTCCTATATCAAGCAACACCAAAATCTTCACTCACTTGTCTCACTACACTTTTCTTACACTTCAAACACGTGTGACACACGGCCAGTTATATTCGCGAACTAATTACAGCACCGTTAGTTACTAAAGAGTTTAATTAATTGACCCGAGGAAGAACGTCAAGCGATGCGTCTCAAACAAGCAGCCGAGCAACGTCTGACTAACTCGGAGTCCCCTCTCTTATGACCATTGTCTGTTTCTAATTAGATTAATAATTAAACGTTCGTTAATTGATATATCGATTTATGAATAGCTTTGGAATTCATTGTTTACAACGGAGGCGGGCTGTACGATAACATTCTTTTGTTTATGACAGTTATGCACGTTGGAAGAACCCTGACGATTAGTAGATAATTAACGAAGTGAACAGTGCCAAGTAAGTGCAGTTGCACTCTAGTTTACACATTTTGAAATAGTGATGTGTCTATCGTTAATTACTCTGTGCTGGTACAGAAAAGTATACTAAAGCGATACTTCAAGAAATAGTGTAGTTTAAATGGCGATAGTTTTTGCCATTAATAAGAGACAGAAAAAGGGACTTCACAGGCGGTGGACATTTTCCTTCTATCATTTTTTACACGTAATTTATTAGGATATTTTTGATATAAGAATATATATCAAAAATATCACTTTCATAGTTGTTATCTTGAAAAACTAAATTAAAATGTTCATCGTAATTTTAATGCAATAATCACTAGTGATACCTCCGACCTTTCCCTAAATGCCAGATATATTTTTAAAACTGACCAAAACATGAACGACTTTGAGAACCTCAAAACTATTCAATCAAGGTCAACGATACTATTGTAGTCCACACAATAAAAGATCTAGACATAACTCTAAATCACACCGATTAAGATTTTTCTTTTGCTTATTCTATGTTACTTTATATTCATACTAGCTTTCCCCCGCCACTCCGTTCGTGTGGAATTAGAAAAAAAAACAAAAGTGAATAGCCTATGTATCTTCCAGACTATCCTCTACATCTATACCAAATTTCATCGAAATCCGTTCAGCCGTTTAGGCTACAAACTGTAACAAACATCCATCCATATAAACTTTCGCATTTATAATATTAGTATGAAGTATGAAGTATGACTAGTATGATTAAGTTCAAAGTAATAAAGCTAACATAATAAACCTAAAACAATTCACAACTTCACACACAAATTGGTGGCTTATACAGCAAAGCCCTTTTTTGCCCTTAATTACATGTCATATTTGCCAAAAAAACATTTACACACACTCTACACTAAAACGTCTGTCTGAAGCGTCTGTCACACATAAAAGTTTAATTCAACAAGCACTCATATAACACAAAATGTACCGAGGCACGTGCCAACCCTTATGGTAAATTCACACGCGGGTTGTAGCGTGACAAACAGCACTGCTTATTATATGACCGCATACTGTTAATACAAACAATAGTAATACTGATCTGTACTACTGCTCTGGCTGCCCTCGTGTGAAACTACCTTATTTTGTTTTGTACCGAGTACAATTGAGATTCGATTTGAGGTCCCATTGTTGATGCAACTCGTTTGCCCCCTCGCTCGAGTCTAGACAAACACATTGGACAACGTGGGGGAGGTTCAACCCTCACTCATCTCGAGCTGTGTTAAAAATTGCTATTTAAAAGATATGAAGCAATTTTTTTTTCGGTATTACTTTGATAATAATAATAATAATAATAATAAAGTCATTTAATAGATAGAATAGATAGAATTTTGACGGTTTTTGTCAATGTGATTGCTGTGGATATCATTTTACAATATCTGTATCTTAATATATCTATCGCAAATAATACTAATATTACAAATGCGAAAGTTTGTATGGATGGATGTTTGAATGGATGGGTGAATGTTACTACGTATCTCCAAAATGGCTTAAGGAATATCGAAAGAAATTTGTCACAGACGTAGAATGAAGTCTAAAATCTAAATATCTTACATGAGTGGTACTTTAATCAAATATCGATAATCGACTCTGTGAAATTGACAATATAAGTGGAGACAGATGAGCCGTGTGTCACGCATGTAGTGGCGTTTTAACTACTTAATCTTAGGAATTAAAATTCTTGCGTTAGAATTACTATCCGTTAGGTGAGTACTAAGAAATAATGGATAAAATAACTATTAAGAGCGGGCGCACATCTTTGAGTAAACCAAAACTGTTGTGTGATTGTCAATTGTTTCGCAGCCAATTCAACTGTTTAGTTGCACAATTAAAAATCGTGTATAAGCTCAAAGGAATCAAAGCGAGACTAAACAGTTCTGCGATAGTTCAGTCAAAGGTGTGCCCTCGCTTTAATACAATAATTGAACATAAGTAAAAAATTGTTTACTCGACTCACTCCCGTAACCCAGTGATTTAGGTAGAGACTATGGACTTCCATTTATTGGTCCTGACACTCTTCCAAGCTCCTACATTTATAAATCTATACACACATCCACGTCGGGCTAAGTACTCTTAACACTGCTCAACATAAATATTTTATCAATCGCATCTAATTCCTTAGAAATACATTAAACCAGTAACAAAATTACTATTACTCTATCCAGGTAGAATATTATAATCAGACTATATCCGATAATAACCAGCTTCGTGTTAATATCGCGTGTTTAGATTATACAAGCAGTACCCCAAGTGGTTGTTAAAGTTCCCAGTGAAAGTGACACGCGAATCGAACCTAGCAAACGCGATATCCTGTATCAGAAACAGGATAGAGAACAAGATTCTTGCGATAAATCATCCTAAACTGGAGAAAAAAAGCACTTTTCATTTAAAAAGTGTTGTAACTCTCTTAAGATACGAAAGTTCTGTATTAGGCAAAAACCTATCCGGAAATCTAACTATTTGTTCCTTGGCTATTGAAAATTATCAAAGGAAATAAATTATAGAAATAATCTTAATACAGCAAAGATATATTCCTTAGTGACAATTAGTGTTCATATTACAAGGTCGTCCTGTTACCAGATCAAATAAAATAACTGGCCATTAACAAAATTCAACAGATAATAAAATTGAGCTATTTAACAGTAAATAACATTATAGACCCCACAGTTATCTACGGTTATGCTAAGTCGGTAACAACATTAATGCGTGCAGCAAAATAATTACAATTTAAACTTAGTTTAACGGATAATTAAGTTGACAACAAAGTTCATTGACGTGGAAAATTATTGTCGACATGACACTTAGAAATAAGAAGTACTTTTAATCATTATTGGAGAAAAAACTAAACTGTGTGTATCAGATAAATTAACAATTGATCGTAATTATAAAAATTACTTCTCTACATTTTTTAGCGAGAGATGTACATATATGCGACAAATTGAGACGCCATTCGACATGGACAATAAAACTAGAACCAAGAGGTACTGGCATGAAATAGTCCATTGTACTCTTAGGGGAATTTATCCTTGTCGAATGACACCTCAAAAGGTATACTAATTATGGCACTGTTCTGTGAAATTAGCGTTTGTTCCTTTACCTGTAGACAAGGGCAGAAGGGCCAGCGGCGGCGCAACGCGTGGGGCATCTTCTTGCGGGGCGCGGTGTCCTGATCGGCGGCCGGCTCGCCGCACGCCCACCGCACAAGGCGCGCGCGCGCCGCCTCCGCCGCCTCCACGCTGCGCGACCACGAAGGTACACCCTGTATAACAAATAATCAATTAATACAACTGACAAACATTCAAACACGAGATAAAACCATCTGTGGGAACACGTGGATTAGAATACGTTCATTTCTTTTAAATAGTAGATCTCGAAAAACATCTTGAAGAAATAAATAAAACGTAAACACAAAATTGTTTCAATCAAACACAGGAAATATAAATGAAAACTACGTGTATCACGCTTCTATTTCTGTTGCAAACACAAACACACAGTGCAACAACCTCGTCCATTGCTGTCTCACGCACCATTGTGCAATACACACCTCATCGCTGGTGGAGAAACTGTTACCAACACATTCTTTAACATTGCAGATAATATTTAATGATTTTAGTGTTAAAGATATAAAAGTATCATCCCACACTACGAAAACGATTTCCAAGTTTCACGTGTCAAGATTGGATTGATTTCTAGAAACATTGATTTAATGCGTCATGCGAATTTTAAGCGTCAATAGCCCAATGATTTGTGGTACGGAATACCGATCTTGAGGTCGAGGGTTTGAATCCTATTCGACTATTGTCGTGAACCATATCCTAGCACAAGTGTAGAGCTTAGTTAGAATAGTTAAAGAAAATATTAGTAAAGTAACAAAAACCTAACATTTTTGTATTAAAAAAAGATCATTTACTAACAATTTTACTAAAATAGAGGTCACACAAAGGTTCGTTTTAAGACTACCTAACAATTAAAATCGAAATTTAATTTAACGTTGTCTCTGGGGAAAATATTTTCTAGTGTTAATATAATATTTTTTTCATCATACTATCTCCAAGGAGAAATTCAACTTATTATAAAAATTACATGATATTTACATGTCACCGCGTCACCAGATGATAAGTAAATTGCCGAGTGCAGCGAAGTACTGAAAATTATTATCTTTTTAATAATTACCATCACGTGAGAACGTCAAGAATTATCACTTGAGCAAGATGGCTAACAATGTTCATTGCGATGACGCGTAAACAACTCGTTCTCTCAGTAGACTACATTGTAAACAAGGAAATTAATTTAAAATGGTCATAAACTACCAACATACTTAGAAATAATAAGGTATTAAAATAAGAAATTCAAATAAGAAAATCTTCACGGCTCCGATGTATAGAAATTGAAAATCTATTTCTATACTATTATAATAAAGCGTAAACACACACTTTTTTGTTGCCTAAGATGTCAGCAATTACAGCATATTTTTGAATAATTCTTTTTTTAATAAAAAGCCCTGTATTTACATCTACTTTTCAGAAAAGTGCCGGTGATAAATTTTGTTCACTATGCCTCGTCTAAATGTTCTTTGAATGTCTTCGATTGAAAATGAAACCATTAATCAACATGCTTTTCGCTCTAAACTGTGTTAAGAGTGAAAACATTATTGTCGATAAACGACTCCAAGGCCGAACTAAATTTCATTATTAAATTAAATAATCATTAGAAGGGAATTTAGTTAGCCTTTATCTTTTTAATCAATGCTTGTGATTTTTTTGTCAATTATTGTCGTTACACCCAAATAAATTTAAATAAAACTTATTTTGTATTCAGAGTTTTATACTAGCACAAGTTATGTTTATCTCAAAATTGATCATATAAAAACAAGCGTTACTTAGATTTAAAACTCTTCATTATACAATAAGAGAGTGGCCATAATCTAAACACATTATGCAATGGACACACATTACCGTAAAAAACATATACCTTGTCCGGCCCTGCTAAAAAACCCGATATAGATGGTCGAACAAGAATGCAGTGATCGACTTTCCGGTAACAGTCGTTAACTATGACGTAACACGTAACAGGAAGTGACAGACCATAAGGTTCTAATCACGTTTGACGACTTATTTTTATCAAGTGTACAGTTTGGGAAACTGCCGATGTTCCACCTTAAAAACTACAATCGTAAGAACATTTTAAAACGAGACTTGGAACAAAAATCAATACAACGCGACTTATAAATGTGTATGTTCGAAAAAAAGTCGCTTAGTGATTTACGCTTAGTTTCTAGTTATCGTCTTTTCATTTACACGTCTCACTGCTATCTAATTAGTTATTTGTAGGAATAAGCGGAGTTCGTCTCGTTGCAATGACCAAGGCAATTCCTAAAGTGATACACCGCGTATTTCCGCGACTGTACGCTGATGGGAATCGCACGACTTCGTCGTTCCGTCATTACGATTTACGGTATGTAGTATGTGAGGTTGTAGAAAAAGTTATCAATGACAGCATACTGTCTATAACTGTGCGAAAACTAAGTATGTTAGTTTTCCTGTTATGTAAAAAAAAAATTAAAAAAAATATTCTATGTAATAAATGTAAGTTATCTGTAAGAAGTTTCACACATTTCTCTTCAGAATTCATATTGTCAAGTTACTTTTATAATGTTCGTGATATTAAAACACAAGTTAAGGTTGTCACTTCTGAATTTTACAAGAACTAGTTTAGGCTTAATCTCTATTTAAGTCTATGCTTATAGCTTTTTTTGACTGCTGACGTCACACAGAACGTCGTCGACAAAATTTGTATTATATTTATACAGCGCCATTATCGAGCTTTAATACCTACAAATATTGTCGATGACTTACGAATACTGTTTCGAAAATTTTCGTGTTAGGTCCTTTATCAGTTATGGATATTACAGTGTGTATTCTAACAAATCAGACAAAACCCGTATATTAACGTTTCAAAACCGCACGCAACACACGATATACGTTTAGCAAATTATGATCACAAATAATAGTTCCTATTTGTTTCACACAACTACGATTGAATAAAACATGCGTGTTGGCTATTATTAAGTGGCCTCCATTAACAATAATCATAGAAATGCTTTCTATTAATGATAGGATTGTTTCGTTGACCGGAAGTAATCGCTTACGTCGTATTTGTTAAGTGTGTAGTGCCCCTAAGCTATGATAATGATATAGCTGTTGTAAAAGCCATTTTAACTATATCTATACTTAAAGTATAAAGACGATAGATTTGTATTTTTGGATTTATGTATGTATTCAAAAAACTACTATACCTATTTGAAAAATTCTTGAACTATTAAAAAGCTACATTATTAGTGAGTAACATAGGATGCTTTTTTTTATATTTTAAATCTCACGCGGACATAGTCGCGAGCAAAAGCTAGTATAACAATAAACTATGTCCGTTTAAATCTAAAATCCACACAAATAATAATCCAAGGGATCCCATCGTTCAACAATTATCGTAAACCATTCCTAGCATTACTCTAGAACTCAGTTGAAATGTTACAAGAAAATTTAATCTTACTTCTTACTAAATTTACTAATATTATAAATGTGAAACTTTAGATGGATGGATGGATGGATGAATGTTTGTTGGAGTTTGTAGCCTAAAACGCTAAACGGTTTTCGATGAAATTTGACATAGATGTAGAGGATAGTCTGGAAGAACACATAAGCTATTCACTTTTGTTTTTTCAATTCCACGCGGACGGAGTCACGGGCGAAAGCTAGTTGAATCGACTAGTATTTTCAGAAATGAAAACTGTAAATATCATTAATCTTTTAATTCCTCTTATGAAAATTCCGTACTCATATTTCACGGTAACGGAGTTTTAGTGCTTACTAGCTTTCGCCCGCGACTCCGTCCACGCGGTATTAAAATAAAAACGAATGCAAGTAGTCTATGTGTTCTTCCAGACCATTCTCCACATCTATGCCAAATTTCATCGAAATCTGTTCAGCCGTTTAGGCTACAAACTCTAACAAACATCCATCCATCCATTAAACTTTCGCATTTATAATATTAGTATGATTAATGCAATGTTAACCTTTATCTAAATCAAGGTACAGCTTGTTGACAGTGACTTTGTATCGAGTCTACAACGAAGTGTAGAAAAATTCACGCCTACTAATTGATAAATCGTTCACGGTTCAAATTTCATAAGACGTATTCTGATATCTGAAGGTATTGTTCCGTTGAACTTTACTGTCGGCATTTAGTGAGCTGTTGCAACTCGGATACAGTGACAATATATTATTAGATTGGATTTGAAAATTTAACCCTTTTCTTGTTAGTCTATCTGTAGAGATACATCGGAATTTTTTTTTTATTATTTTTTCTAAACACCTTGGGTCATCAAGGTTAAGTGCTATGAATATCATTTTGATATTCGAAAAAATGAAATTCTGCCAAATTAAGGGTTAACAAATATCATGTGCGAAAGAATAATAAAGTTATCTGCACACGTAATCCGAGTAAGTTGTCTCCAATAATAAGGACATCAGGCTTCCTTTAATATTTCGAGATACGAAATTATAGAATATGTCAATGAAGCTGACCTTATAATTTAAAAAAAATGTAACTTTAAGCCACCGGAAAATTCATTATGAATTTTTATAACAAACACCGAGAGTATTAAATAACAAATAGATTGATAATGTGAAAAAGAGTATTGTAAAAATGTGTTTCTTAATTTACAAATTGGGGACCATTCCCAAAAAAAAAAAACAAAAATAATGGTAAACCTACTCGAAAACGATGTGAACGGAACACGAGCTGTACTAACCTCACCTGTTTACTTCCAAAAGGTGCATTGACTTTCAATATCTCGTACAATATAAACTAACTTTTTCTTACGACTACGTCCACGTGGAATTAATAAAAAATAAAAAAAAATATACCGACGAATTGAATACCTCCTTTTTTTGGGAAGTCGGTCAAAAATAGCCTATGTTACTCAGTGATAACGTAGCTTATTATTGGTGGAAGAATTATTGAAATCGACCAATTAGTTTTTAAGCTATTTCAATACATACTAAAATACAAATCTTTTCTCTTCATAATTATACTAATGTTAAAAATGCGAAAGTTTAAAGGAATATGATAATTAAAAAACTATTGCGATGATTTCAAAAAAATTGTTAACCAATAAATAGCTACGTTATCTCTGAGTAACATAGGCTATATTTATTAAACTGTTTGATTCCACGCGGACAAAGACGCGAGTATCAGCTA